CCTCCACCCCCCCACCCCCCACCCCCCACCCCCCACACACACACACACACACATACACATACTCATCTTTTGTTAACTTTGTTGCTTAAATTACCATTCCAGTGGTAATTTAATATTTCTGTAAATAATCACGTTTTTTTGTGTAATAAAAAACTAATAGGTCATCCTTCAAAGATCATGCAAAAAATGTTAATTTATTAATATTAAAAGGATATAATATCCGTAGACGTTTTCTTTATAAAACTCAGGTAATCTGTAACAAATAAACAGAAAATAACAAAACAAACTTTAAATGAAGTAAAGATCTCAACCATCGCCCCTTTTGTTCCTTCACCCAACAGACTTGTTGTTTTTGATTATATATTAATTCTGCATCTCTACTGTTTTCTGTCAGCTCCAACAGTTCTGGACAATAACATGTCAATAAAAAATACCCAAAGTATTTCAAAACCAAATATGATGTTTCAAATCATTACAACATGGTTACTGTTTGATATAATAAATATTATTATATACATGTGATAATGACTTCTATTAAACTTTTCTGTTTAAGATGTCCTAATTTATAACATCAATTGTCTAAGTGTTCTAACAGTTATCTAATAAAAAAAAAGCAAAAAATAAAAATAAAAATCTTTATTTAGTATGTAACATAAATTTATTTTGCTTATAAATCTTTGAAAGAGACTTGGATGAATACACATTTGTAGGTGGAAGACACGTGCATTACTTGCGTCTGAATGCAAAGCATTTGTGTGGTTTGCATTCAGGATGTCTTGACATTTAGCCGTGTGAAGGTGTGACCACATGAAGCAACAAGCACATCTTTAAAAATTGCTCCTTCTCATCAGGGAGCATCACTCCCTCGCTACAACTCCACAACCAGTTTGAACCACACACACTTCTATTCATATATACCGTACTTTTTGCTGTATAAGTCACAGTTTGTTGCATAAATTAGCATGACTGTGACTTATATAACAAAGCGACATATTTATGTTTGTCCCCATATTTATAATTCTATTTTTGACTGAGATCTGATGATTTCATTCATTCTGACATGGAAAATATTGAACACTACCATTTTCAGCCGCTAGAGGGCCCTCAACTACTGTGGCAAGCAAAGTGTCTCATTACTAGGTAAAAGTGGCTATTAATGAGACACTTTGCTTGCCATACCAAACCACCTTCATCTTGCTCCAGAACTCCTGGAGCAAACGTCAAATCAGCTGCATTTCACCACATCGCCCAGATGAAATGCAGCTGATTTGACCATCAAAGTGCATTTATTAAGGAAAAGTTAAACTGAGACACACCTTTGCTATAATTTCGAGCAAACAAATAATTGTTTTTAAGTGTTAATCTTGTTAAAATCTTGTTAAAGTCCTCTTGTGCATGCCCCCGCGGCCGCCATTTGGCAGCCAATCGATGTTTGGCACAACACCGGCCCACGTTTCCGGGTTGTCAGCCGTAACGAGTAACAAATGTGTCGCGTCAGCGGTGACGCATAATAGATGCAACTTATATGGCGAAGCGACATATCTATATTTTATTTCCACTTCATTAGACATATTTGGACTGATGCAACTCATACGGCGGTGCGACGTGTACAGCAGCAAGTACGGTATATACACGAGTTCTATACTGAGCTTTTGAGGACCGTTTTAGATGGTTATTTATATCCTCCACTCTGTTCGTAGTATAGAAGATCAGTTTAATCTCACTTACATAAACAAATGAGGAGGTTTCAGCTGCCAGTTAGTGACATTATCTGGACCTCAGGTGGGGCTTTACAGGAGGTGTACAGTTGTAACTTGTTGATGCTTTACCAGCAGGGGTCAACTTGCACATGTGTGCACCAAGCCTTCAGCTAGGATTTATTATGAACCTTTCTGTCAGAGTGGAATGGAGTGGGAGTCCCCAGCTATAAAGATGGCTTGATTTCAGAAGGAATTTATGTGTATTCTGAGTACTCCTGTAAAAAAAACAAAAAACAACAACAAAAAAAAACCTATAGAGATAAAATAAGAAAAGTAAAAATGTGATTTTTTTTTTTTTCACTTTGTCATTTTTTTGGGCAAAGTGCTGTGAGCTCCTCGCAGTTGAGATTTAACTGATAAATGAAGAGTTTCCATGCTGCAGGGAGCCCAGACTGTTCACCAGGAATGGGCCATTTTTAGACTAGTTGCTGATGTTGTGTCACGCACACACACGCACACACTGATTTGCAGCACTGACCTTATAGTTAGATGCATTACTGAAATCAAGGGTGCAACGTTACAACGTTCCTTCAGGCCTGCATTTATCTTTTTGTTGCCGAGCCACCCGTCATCTGTGTGTGAACACACTGTCCCTGCTGAGGAGCATTGACAGTAAAAACTTGACTTTTAACCTTTCAGACCTTGTTTTTTGTCCTATTCATTAAATTTTACATAACGTGTGGCCTTTTGACCAACATCTTCATTTATTGTGTTTTTTGTTTGCTTAACTTTTCCACTGCAAAAAAGGAGGGAAATGATCGTCCCCTGTGGCCAGTCCTTGTTTACGCCAGCCTCCATTTCCTTTGAGAAAGCTTGAACACTGCAAGATTTTAGCATCTGATGTAACAGTAAAACCTTTTGCTCTTCTTCCATTTTAATTTTTTTACTGTTTCTCTTTACATTAGATTCTTTCCCATCCTCCTTTAGGTTTCCCTGTGATCCTTTCCTCAATCGCTTTTTTTATCCCCATTCTTTGTCATTTTCCTTTTTTCTCTGACAGCTTTCCTTGTTTACAGCCCCTGCAGAGTCCGTGCTTCAGTGCAGCCTGGGCTAGGAGTGATGCTGTAGCACTGCAGAGGGATGTACGAGTGCCGCAGTCTGACACATGACCTGAGCCTCGGGTTGCGACCTCTAACTTTGCAGCAAAATCTGTTCATGGGACACGCTTAGCAGGATGGGCAGATTTATCCGTTTTATTTATTTACTTTTATCTGCATATTTGACTGAACAAATCTCAGCGTAAATATGAACCGGTACAGCAAAACTGTAAAGCTTCTTGATCCTAAACCGCTCATTCATGGCTGTCGTCATTGTTGACCTATTTTCAGTCACTTCAACTTATAGTCCGTATAGCTAAACAAATGATAGCCGGCTGCCATTGATGAAATTCACTTACAATTTTTTTTATTTAATGACATATTAACCATCAAAATGAGGAAAACATGGGCTGATTTTGTTTTGTGCATTACAAGTTTTTGCAATAGCACCTTTTTAAACAAAAAAAAAAATCATATGTTATAATTAAAACTCAAGAATGTTATGCTGTGCTTGTTTGTTTTTTATTTTTGCTACAAATGGTTGTGCAATTAAAGGCCTTTAATCCATGAGCTCTGAGACTCTCAAAACAGATCGGATCACATTTGGATTATTAGTCAAATTTACCCCCAAAAAACGAGTTCAAGCAAAGAAAAGAGACGTAAAGATGAACATTTGCACATGAAAATAACAAATATGTTCTTACAAATGAGTAAAGAGTAAACTGTGCTAACGTTGATGCTGTAAATATTCTGTTTTACTTCTAAGAAAATGATCCGTAGACTCTGTCTACAAGCTAAAACATTCATTTATGTGATTGTTTCTCTTAAAAATAAATGGAAGTCTTTGCTTGATAGCACCACAGATTGTCTGCCTTTCTGACAAACTCAAACCAAATGAGTGAAAATGAAAGTAACCAGCTAGATGTGTAACAAGAGACTCTGATGCCAAGTTTCTCACATTATGTGCCACTTAGCATGGCTGTAAAGTACAGACGGGTAAGACCGAGGAAAGTCAGGTTTAACAGGACCAGTGCATCTTCCCACCAGACTTCACATCCTGTAATCACCTGCTGGCTCTCTTCCAAACCTCTGATACACGTATCAGGAGCACTGGAGCGGCGTATGCCATAATCTGTGATCTACAGGGTGTATTTTTAGCACTAGGAAAGTGAGTAAGAGTCGAAGGATCAATGTGTTGCTTGCAAGTTGGTGACTATTTATTGGAAGGTACTTTATTTTTAAAACTTCCCCCTTCCTCCTTTTACTCACCTCAGTTTTCCCGTTGTACCTTTCTTTTTCAATTTCTATAGATCTGTCTCCATTTCTTCTCCGTCATCCCCAGCTTCCACACCCTCTCCATCCTTTCCTCTGTTCGACGTGCTGCCCCCCTCCCCTCCTCTCCTGTCCAGTGGTGCTTCAGTGATGCAGTGATTCATAGCTGCAGTAGGCGCTGCCTCACGGTCATGTGACCAAAGCCTGCCTGACAACATGAGGGAACAACACAGCCTGGCTGGATTACGTGCAGTCACATGCACGGGCTCACATCCCCCCCCCCCCCCCGCAAACACTCGCACGCGCAGCAGAAACCCTTTTTGTCACATCAGCGCGTGCTCGTTTCCTCTTCACTTCATCAAAATCTGATATCTGCAGCATCACTTGACTGCAGCAGATACCCACACTCTCAACAATGTAGCCATCTTTTATGACTGATGTTACCATCCGCAACAACAGCTGACTGGCTCAGCAGTATGTGAGATGTGCACTCCTCAACCCTTGTGCATTTTTTATAATCCTGCGCTGTATTTTCACAATGAGCCCAAGGGTTTTTTTTTGTAATTTTATTTTATTTTTCAATCACTGCACAAAATGAGGTTTTGCAGGTTTATTTTCCTTTCCTTCTTGCTGCTTCCTGGTGACTAAGTGTTCAAGTGTTTTAGGAAACTATGCAAAGGTCAAAGTGTCATAAAGCTCATTCATTGTCATGTCATCTATCAGTGTTACTCAGCTGAGAGGAGATAATCCCCTAAACCAGTAGTTCAGGTGTTTGAGCTTCCAATTTAAGAGTTCTGAAAATAGCACACAGATGCTTAGAGCTGAGCTTAACTTTGCAAACTGTGGCTTCCTTGCTGGCTCCATGTTGTAAATCTCACCACAGTGCCATTAAACTATTTTCTCATGTTTGTTGTTTTGTTTGTTTGTGCAGGTGGAGCTGGGCAGGAAGCAGGAAGTGGTGGTTTACGACCAGAGTTCCAAAGAAGCGGGTCACCTGTCCAAAGATGGCTTTGTGCACATTCTCATAGGAAAATTGGAGGGTACCTTCCACAAAGTTTCCCTGCTCACAGGTATGCAGGAGTGCATGTTTTTGTACGTTTGCATTTGAATTTTTGGGTGTTAGGCTTTGAGCATGAATGAAGTGGAGTAAAAACACTAAACTAAATGTTAAATAGCTTATTTTAGTCTCAAAAATCCTACATTTCTGTGCTTTATCGCGCAACAAGCAGGTTGTCATTGCACAGTTTGGCCAGCAGATGTCACTGATTGACACAGCAAGTTTTTCTTGTTATCGCTGCCTGGATTCTGACTTTAGCTGTGTAAAAGTTCACATGGGCTTCTTAAGACGGCAGAGGAAGGAGGAGGTGAAAATGCTTGCTCTCATGATGCAAAATCTGTTTGAATACTCTGATGTTTAAGCTTCTCCTGAGGCATTCTCCCACTCAGCATCCCTGCAGCAAAATGAAGCCTTTTTTCTTAAAAGCCACCATTAAGCATCTTGTCAAAGTGTCCACTAAGCCCTGTAGGAGTAATTGAGCCTCAGCAGGACTGTTAATAGGCTTTCTGAGTTAATATCATCTTGAATGTGTTGGCTGCAGCTTTTTTCTTTTATTTCTGGTGGATGTTACTCACTCACACACACTCAAAAGCTCATAAATCCGTCCCAAATGTGTCAAGAGTGTAATCTGCCTCAGATGGAATTGGAAATGAGATGGGGAGAGGCACACTGCTTTGGAAAATCTTTTTCTGCACGTCTCTCTGCATCTTTCTTGCAAAGAGATTAGTTGTATTTCATAAGTGATTTGTGGATGCTGAGGATAGCTTCCTTCCACTGCCCCCCAACACACACACACACACACACACACACACACACACACACACACACAGTCACTTTCTGATGATTTCTGAAGCATGGATTTTCCTCCTCAGCTCTTCTGATCAAACATGTTGTTAATGAAAACCTCCCTGTCAGCAGTCACCAACTCCAACACACACACTTCCTAATTACCTTCACAGCTTATTTTTGCTCCATTCCGCCAAGAAAAAAAAAAGTTATCACATCTCTTCCATTTCTGTCTTTGCTTCGCTGCTGTTTCCTTGACAACAGAGGCAGAAAATAATCCGGAGGAGAACTCATCCAATGGCGTTGGCTGATGTTTGGGTGCTTTTCTTATTGGGGTCAGTGGAGCTCGCAGCCAGTGTCTGTGCAAATATATGATGCATAGGTTTGTATGGATGGAAAGTGGGTGTGGGGAACAAGGTCTACATGTTTCATTCATGGTGTTTTGTGACGTCATGTGTGTCAGTGCTGCAGGATTGGTCACGTGTAGAGGTGCTGCAGAGTTTTAAATGAAAGAAGATGGTGAAGGAACAAACGGTTCTCAGATTTATCCTACACCCATGAGACATAACTGAGAAAATAAATGTGAAGAAAACATTGTATCATGAGTTTGTTTATTTGTTTCTTGGCAGACCTAATCAACACAAAAAGAGAAAACTTTATGTATAGCTGTGTAATAATATTACTTCCTGTGTCCCTTTCTAAATGCTTCTCTTTAATCTTGATGGGGAAAAAATATCAAAATCACTGAAAGATGGAAATCAATAAAAGACAGCTATGAATCCAGTGACTTGGGAGTAATGATACTAATATTAAAATGAAATTTAAAAAAAAATAGAGATATTCTTCACTAAGCTGTTTCTCCTACATGTTGAATAATTTGGACAAAACAGAGAAGATTGGTGAAAAAAATGTGAAGAAAAAAAACAATACAAAAACATATATAAACAAATAAGCTTAAGAAATAAATGGCTTTTTTACTTGTAGTTAATATTTACATTCTTATCATTTTGTATGGCAATAAAGAAAATTAAACATTGTTTTGAGAGTGATAAAAACTCAAATTATTTAATCAAGAATGTTCCAGTGTTATTATTTTAAAAAGGATGTAATAAAGTAAGTATTATATTTTGCATTTGTTATCTATATATATATCATCTGAGAAACAAAGAACTGCACCTCATATATACCCGTACTTGCTGCTGTACACGTCACACCGCCGTATAAGTCGCATCAGTCCAATATGTCTAATAATTAATGAGACACTTGGCTTGCCATATTGGTCAAGGGCCCTCTAGCGGCTGAAAATGGTAGTGTTCAATATTGTCCATGTCAGAATGAACAAAATCGTCAGATTTCAGCCAAAAATTGGATTAAAAATATGGGGGGGAAAAAACGTATGTTAGTCGCTTCGGTGTATAAGTCACAGGACTTGCAAATTTATGCAAAAAGGTGTGAATTATACAGCAGAAATATGGTAGGTGAAAATTGAGAACATAACTGATCAGAAAAAAATATCTGAGATCTGGACTTGTATGTTTTTTTTGTTTTAACTTTTCATAAATGAAAGAGTCTTAGTGCACGCTTGTGTTTTCTCTGGGGTTTAATTTCCTTTTTGTTCCATCAGTCATTCCTGGTATTACTCCTTCCCCCCAACCTTCTTCTTTTCGTGTCCTTTAAGTTTCTGGTTCATGAAAGTAGTAATTTTGCTAATTACATCATATCTTCTTTATTTTCATCCTCACATATTTGAGTCACCCATTGACACATTGTTCACGCTGGAACAGACCACCACATGAAGTAATTATTATTAGATAAGTAAACGAAGAATCCCTAATCAGGACGAATAGATGAAAATAAATTAGGCTTTTTGTTTTACAGCAGCATAACTCCTTATCTTAGGTTTTGTAAAAGCTTGGCTAGATTACATTGCCTTCTTGCTAGCCCATTTATAACTGTTGTTTTATTTGTCTTTAATTTTTCATATTTCATTAAGCCTACCATAAAATCACTGCAGAAGCTGGCTCATGTCAGATCAGCTTCTTGGACATTACACAACCAAGGTGAAAGAAATTGTTGTGTATTGATTAAAAACCAGCCAAGACTCATTTTGGGTCAGTCAATTCACCAAATAATCAATAACACTGCTTCAAATGCAAACCACTTCCTCCGCGTGCATGATGTCATGGGAAGGCAGCCCACATTGGGTCATTGTTTTCTGAACAGGAGAAGTAAATCCGGGTCCTGAGGGACTCTCGCTGTGTAGTTACTTTGAATTATGTATTTGTTCAGGATGTGGTCATAGTGGCAGTTGGAAAATGTCAGTGTGTGTGAGTGCGCTGCTAAATCCATATGTGTGCTCAAGATTTAAGTGTGTGTGTTTGAGCGCTTCAGTGATTGTGTGAAAGTGTTGGTAAGAAAAATTTCTCTCCCAGGACAGCTGTATTTTTTACCACAGAGGTGATTTCATCCATTTGGACTTCAGGTTGATGCATACTGCTTTTAAAATAAAAACAAAAAAGTGGGGGTGGGTATGTGTATGAAGTTGAGGACATCACCTTGTTGGACCCAGATGCCTCCCCAGTAAGTCTAAAGTTTGCATGTTTCCCATCACATTGAAAGCACTTAACCAAAGCGACAATAATGCCAAACACTGCTTGTTCTGACAGGCAGTGTTTGGCATTACTGTGTGCAGCTTGCATCAAAGCATCTCCGACGTCCTCCTAATGTGAAACATCTCGCTGCTGGCATTTAAACTTCAAGCTCTAGTTTGAGCAGATGATGCTACAGAGCTGAAACAAACAAACAAAAAAAGACATCATCAAAAACGTGAAAAAGTGATTAGACACGTCGTGAAATATGAAGATGAGTTGAAAGATTCCAGGAGGGAAGGTGAAGACAAAAATAGAAAGACATTTTTAATCACAGGACACATTTTTTTATTTTTGCTTTACTAAAAATCTGACAGGCAGAGAATAGGAAATTAAACAAATGTTAAATATATATATATATTAAAAAAAAACTGGTAGTCTCTTATTACTTTGCGGTTCGTTTTTCGCGGACTCACTCTATCGCGGTTTTTCAAAGTAAGATTGGACACGACACACAATTGGCTGATAGATGGATGAGCCGCACGATCAGCATGGAATTTTTATTTTAAATAAATTAGCACCTGCTGCACCTGTGTACAGGTCTGTGGGCAGCTCATAGCTGTGGGAGAAGTTTCCTCCTGCAGCTGATCAGCTGATCTCCTGCAGAGCGGAGAAGTGGGCGTGGCCAAGAACGCTGACAAGTGACAAAGAGCAGCTGAGGCAGAGAGCAGAAATCATGACATTCTGTGCTCTTTTAGAACGTTTACAGTTTTGAAACATTGTTTTGAATATTGCAAGAGTATGGGAAGCGTTTAAAACACTTTATATATATATATATATATATATATATATATATATATATATATATATATATATATATATATACACACACACACTACTACTAACTACTTGTACTACTATTCCTACTTCACGGATTTTCACTTATCACGGGGCGTCAGGGTTACGGATCCCTCACAATAAATGAATAAATATATATACTGTATATTGAGGAAACTGATAAGATTGATGTACCTTAAAAGAGAAAGTGAAGGTGTATAGGTGTGCACTTTGTTCAGCTGATGTTTACAGATGTGCATGAGTGCTTCCAGTCTTTGCCAGCAGCATCTGCCTGTGTTTTTCATAAGATTAGTGAAGTGTCACATCACAGGGGGAGAGAAAAGGAAAGAGTCCGAGCAAAGTCATGTGTCTGCAATGTTAACGGGACATCGTGATCTCTAAAATGGTTTACAGAGCTATGACTCTGTTTTCTGACGTCCTTAATCTGTCTCCTCATTAACTGATTATAGAAGCTATAATTACTTGAAAGAATGCATATCAACCGCCACCTTCCATGCCAAAGTTTTAGACTAAAATCGTGTTATGTTGAAAAATGTAGCAAATTTGGTCAAACCTTGAAAGTTTCAAGGTGTCACACTCAGAGTAAATGTTCTGAATGACTCTCAGCTACCGCCACACTACACTTTACTCTGTATTTGTCAAACTGACTGATACCTTTTTGGCTTTTTTTTTGTGTGTGTGTTTTCTAAGATCATTTGGTTGTGGCAGCCATCTTAGTTTGGGTTGGCTCCAAAAATTAATCAGTTGTTGATCATCCTTTGTTTACTTTCTGCAAGTATCG